AGTACCAACCAATATTGGACCATACCGTCGATATTACTTACTAGATTATATATATAGAAGATCCAGTACCAATATTGGACCATACCGTCGATATTACTTACTAGATTATATATATAGAACATCCAGTACCAATATTGGACCATACCGTTGATATAGCTTACTAATTCTATATATAGAAGATCCAGTACCAATATTGGACCATACCGTCGATATTACTTACTAGATTATGTATATAGAAGATCCAGTACCAATATTGGACCATACCGTCGATATTACTTACTTGATGCTATATATAGAAGATCCAGTACCAATATTGGACCATACCGTCGATATTACTTACTTGATGCTATATATAGAAGATCCAGTACCAATATTGGACCATACCGTCGATATTACTTACTAGATTCTATACATATGTACTTGATGTAGCTATATTTATAGTTACTTAGACATGAATGTATACACCCCTAATGCAAAATACACATGTTTTAAGTTTGACTAACCGCCATTACGGTGCATGGTATCTTTTTATTATATAACCATAATGAGTTTTAAATTTACACGAACAGTTGCAATGAATTGACTTATCAACTCAGTATATAAGGAAACACTATATAGGTGTTCATTTTAATAACTTGTTTCGTAATTATTATAAAATAGATAAGTTTTATACTTATTTATCGTTATATAAGTACTGATGTATGAAAAAAACAAATCATCAGGCACCAAACACATAGATCTGGATGTACAGAACGTAAAACCACTGTTTAACTAGTTCTCATATCAAACAGCTGTAAACATACGACACCGCTTTATCGTCACCGGGCGACGCGTCGTATTTTAGTTTGCAGTCGGATATCCGATTAAACAGTGATATCCTTTTTATCATTTATATGTGAGTCACGTCGTGACTTAGTTGATGAAGTTTTATAATACTTCAATTTTGTTGTCACAACTGTTTTCTTCCTGTAAAGTAAAAAATATTGGACCATACCTTTGATATAGCTTACTAGATTCTATATATAGAACATCCAGTACCAATATTGGACCATACCGTCAATATTACTTACTAGATTATATATACTAAGTATAGAAGATCCAGTACCAATATTGGACCATACCGTCGATATTACTTACTAGATTATATATACTAAGTATAGAAGATCCAGTACCAATATTGGACCATACCGTCGATATTACTTACTTGATGCTATATATAGAAGATCCAGTACCAATATTGGACCATACCGTCGATATTACTTACTAGATTCTATATATAGAAGATCCAGTACCAATATTGGACCATACCGTTGATATAGCTTACTAATTCTATATATAGAAGATCCAGTACCAATATTGGACCATACCGTCGATATTACTTACTAGATTATATATATAGAACATCCAGTACCAATATTGGACCATACCGTTGATATAGCTTACTAGATTCTATATATAGAAGATCCAGTACCAATATTGGACCATACCGTTGATATAGCTTACTAATTCTATATATAGAAGATCCAGTACCAATATTGGACCATACCGTTGATATAGCTTACTAATTCTATATATAGAAGATCCAGTACCAATATTGGACCATACCGTTGATATAGCTTACTAATTCTATATATAGAAGATCCAGTACCAATATTGGACCATACCGTTGATATAGCTTACTAATTCTATATATAGAAGATCCAGTACCAATATTGGACCATACCGTTGATATAGCTTACTAATTCTATATATAGAAGATCCAGTACCAATATTGGACCATACCGTTGATATAGCTTACTAATTCTATATATAGAAGATCCAGTACCAATATTGGACCATACCGTTGATATAGCTTACTAATTCTATATATAGAAGATCCAGTACCAATATTGGACCATACCGTTGATATAGCTTACTAATTCTATATATAGAAGATCCAGTACCAATATTGGACCATACCGTCGATATTACTTACTTGATGCTATATATAGACGATCCAGTACCAATATTGGACCATACCGTCGACATTACTTACTAGATTCTATATATAGAAGATCCAGTACCAATATTGGACCATACCGTTGATATTACTTACTAGATTATATATATAGAAGATCCAGTACCAATATTGGACCATACCGTCGATATTACTTACTTGATGCTATATATAGAAGATCCAGTACCAATATTGGACCATACAGTCGATATTACTTACTAGATTCTATACATAAGTACTTGATGTAGCTATATTTATAGTTACTTAGACATAAAGGTATGAATTGACTTATCAACTCAGTATATAAGGAAACACTAGATAGGTGTTCATTTTAATAACTTGTTTCGTAATCATTATAAAATAGATAAGTTTTATACTTATTTATCGTTATATAAGTACTGATGTATGAAAAAAACAAATCATCAGGCACCAAACACATAGATCTGGATGTACAGAACGTAAAACCACTGTTTAACTAGTTCTCATATCAAACAGCTGTAAACCTACGACACCGCTTTATCGTCACCGGGCGACGCGTCGTATTTTAGTTTGCAGTCGGATATCCGATTAAACAGTGATATCCTTTTTATCATTTATATGTGAGTCACGTCGTGACTTAGTTGATTAAGTTTTATAATACTTCAATTCTGTTGTCACAACTGTTTTCTTCCTGTAAAGTAAAAAATATTGGACCATACCTTTGATATAGCTTACTAGATTCTATATATAGAAAATCCAGTACCAATATTGGACCATGCCGTCGACTTCACTTACTAGATTCTATATATAGAAGATCCAGTACCAATATTGAACCATACCGTCGATATTACTTACTATATTATATATATAGAAGATCCAGTACCAATATTGGACCATACCGTCGATATTACTTACTAGATTCTATATATAGAAGATCCAGTACCAATATTGGACCATACCGTCGATATTACTTACTAGATTCTATATATAGAAGATCCAGTACCAATATTGGACCATACCGTCGATATTACTTACTAGATTCTATATATAGAAGATATTTTTTCTATAACCATTCAAAACTATTCGTTTGGGCTGATTAATTTAGTCAGTTTTAATAGGTAAATAAGACAGAGTAACAAAAGATGAATTATTGTAGGGTAAATTATGTTAGCAGATTTCAGTTGAAATGTAATAATTAAATTTGTGTATAACATGTTCAAGGACTGTCATGGAGAAGATTGCACAAAAGACGTCAGTGAACAGCAACTTTAGATACAATTAAGAGTTAGATACAGTAGAGTCAAACATTGAATTTAACTCCATCATACAGCTGTTTTGTCCTTCTAGAACTCGTCACTGTTGTTAAATCATACAGCTGTTTTGTCCTTCTAGAACTCGTCAGTGTTGTTATATCATACAGCTGTTTCGTCCTTCTAGAACTCGTCACTGTTGTTAAATCATACAGCTGTTTCGTTCTTCTAGAACTCGTCAGTGTTGTTAAATCGTACAGCTGTTTCGTACTTCTAGGACTCGTTAGTGATGCTACATCATACAGCTGTTTCGTCCTTCTAGAAATCGTCAGTGTTGTTAAATCATACAGCTGTTTCGTTCTTCTAGAACTCGTCAGTGTTGTTAAATCATACAGCTGTTTCGTCCTTCTAGAACTCGTCAGTGTTGTTATATCATACAGCTGTTTCGTCCTTCTAGAACTCGTCAGTGTTGTTAAATCGTACAGCTGTTTCGTACTTCTAGGACTCGTTAGTGATGCTACATCATACAGCTGTTTCGTCCTTCTAGAACTCGTCAGTGTTGTTAAATCGTACAGCTGTTTCGTACTTCTAGGACTCGTTAGTGATGCTACATCATACAGCTGTTTCGTCCTTCTAGAACTCGTCAGTGTTGTTAAATCATACAGCTGTTTCGTACTTCTAGTACTCGTCTGTGATGCTACATCATGCAGCTGTTTCGTCCTTCTGTTACTCCTCAGTGATGCTACATCATACAGCTGTTTCGTTCTTCTAGAACTCGTCAGTGTTGTTAAATCATACAGCTGTTTCGTCCTTCTAGTCAGTGTTGTTAAATCATACAGCTGTTTCGTCCTTCTAGAACTCGTCACAGCTGTTGGACTCGTTAGTGATGCTACATCATACAGCTGTTTCGTCCTTCTAGAACTCGTCAGTGTTGTTAAATCATACAGCTGTTTCGTACTTCTAGGACTCGTTAGTGATGCTACATCATACAGCTGTTTCGTCCTTCTAGAACTCGTCAGTGTTTCGTTTCTAGAATCGTCAGTGTTGTTAAATCATACAGCTGTTTCGTCCTTCTAGAACTCGTCAGTGTTGTTAAATCGTACAGCTGTTTCGTACTTCTAGGACTCGTTAGTGATGCTACATCATACAGCTGTTTCGTCCTTCTAGAACTCGTCAGTGTTGTTAAATCATACAGCTGTTTCGTCCTTCTAGAACTCGTCAGTGTTGTTAAATCATACAGCTGTTTCGTCCTTCTAGAACTCGTCACTGTTGTTAAATCATACAGCTGTTTCGTCCTTCTAGAACTCGTCAGTGTTGTTAAATCATACAGCTGTTTCGTCCTTCTAGAACTCGTCAGTGTTGTTAAATCATACAGCTGTTTCGTTCTTCTAGAACTCGACAGTGTTGTTAAATCATACAGCTGTTTCGTTCTTCTAGAACTCGTCAGTGTTGTTAAATCATACAGCTGTTTCGTTCTTCTAGAACTCGACAGTGTTGTTAAATCATACAGCTGTTTCGTCCTTCTAGAACTCGTCACTGTTGTTAAATCATACAGCTGTTTCGTTCTTCTAGAACTCGTCAGTGTTGTTAAATCATACAACTGTTTCGTTCTTCTAGAACTCGACAGTGTTGTTAAATCATACAGCTGTTTCGTCCTTCTAGAACTCGTCGCTGATATTAAGGGCCTAACATATTTTGAAATCGAGGAGGTGACTGTTGAAAATTCAAAGAGATCGGTAAAGTAATTGGTTTAATTTTTACTTTTCAGATTGAATATGGAAGGTTGCCCATTATTTTCCTATGTTTGTGGAGAGAATGCACGTGTTTTTGAAGGAAGGTCTGAAGCATCGTGGGAACAGACATATTCCGGAGGCATAGTTTTTACAGATAAGCCAATACGGCGTTCAGGTACCGTTAGATTAGTACTGAACGGTAGCAGCCATGTCGACATCGGCGTGACCCAAACAGATCCACATTCATTGCGTGATCCAGGACAAGTGCGACAACTATATCTAAGCGACAAATGCAGCATTATGAACAATATAAGAGTTCATAAAGCAGGATGTGATGTGTCGGTCCAGAACCTTGGTGATAAGGTTGTCTCTCCTCCAGCTGACCAGACTTACAGGGTTTCAGTTGATCCTAAGAAAGACGTGTGGCTCCTTGTTTGCATAAAGTTTGGAAATGCTTCAGTGACGATCGGTATGTACAAAATATAGATATACTGTTCTGCATTACAACTTTTAAAAAGTCATCAAGGTTGCATGCATCAAACTCAATAGATCTACACAGAATAAGAAATAACAGTTCTAATGAATTCAACTTGTAATTTGATCATGTATACAGGCTCCCGCCATGTCAATCTTAATCGAATCCATGTAATGTCAGCTTGCTAAAAAAAGAAAAAAGAAAGAAACGAGCGGATGATATGATCCAAGTGTTAATACAAAAACAGGAAATATATGTATTCAGGGATAAAACGTACTTGGAATTTGTCTTTGCTCACAATTTGAATGGGCTTATTGTGAATGGACTTTCTACACTTTCGTCATAATTGTGTCTCAGCAATGATCTTATTTAAGCTTGATTCATCTGAATATTATACCAGTTCATGACCATGGTAACATATCATACCAGTTTATGACCATGGTAACACATTATACCAGTTCATAACCATGGTAACACATCATACCAGTTCATGACCATGGTAACACATCATACCAGTTCATGACCATGGTAACACATCATACCAGTTCATGACCATGGTAACACATCATACCAGTTCATGACCATGGTAACACATCATACCAGTTAATGACCATGGTAACACATCATACCAGTTAATGACCAAGGTAACACATCATACCAGTTAATGACCATGGTAACACATTATACCAGTTAATGACCAAGGTAACACATTATACCAGTTAATGACCAAGGTAACACATTATACCAGTTAATGACCAAGGTAACACATTATACCAGTTAATGACCAAGGTAACACATTATACCAGTTAATGACCAAGGTAACATATTGTTAAATGCTCTAAACCGTTGTTGAGTTAATTACATAAATATTTTGAAGCCCTTTATGTCAAACAATATCACTTAATTTAATTAAAATATTCTATTTTAAAGATTCACCGGCCAAGTTCCACGAGGTCACTGGTGAAAACATCGATTTTGAAGGTATTGGCAAGCAGAAAGTAAAACTGAAAGTTCAAAATCCGTCTGCGATATGTGTGATAGACAGAGAAATAACCGCCAACTACCGCGATGCCATAAGGATCCAAATCAATCCAATACCAGGACATAACGGGACACCTCCAAATATCTACCACGTCAGGCTCGGTATTACACATATAAGGCCAGACGATATCTCAGAGTTTGACCCGCAGTCACTATCTATTAGTAGGAGATCTGTCAGGAGATCTGAGTCTAGGTGGATGCCCATCCAGACATTTGAGAGGAGAAAAGAGCGAACCCCCGATGCTTCCAATACCATCGACAGTTGTCAAGGGGAGCTAACTATTACGGTAGATTCGGAAAAGGAATTAAAATTTTCACACACAAGTGGGGTTAAGGGGCAATGGGTAGTGACAACTTGGCCGTTATTCATTGTTCTAGAACTTTTTAGAGTTTCTGTCAAAGTATTAGAACCTCTCCGAGTAGGTTGTTCAGCATACATATCTAAATGCAAAGGGCGAGACGCACATCCATCAATGATATCCACATCGAGATCCTCACTAATGTCCAAAGCAGATTCTGGTTACATTAATCCCATTACAGCGTCAACAAGTCGCGATGAATCCACAGCTGGTCCTACAGAATGTTCGTGGCATGACTGGCCGTCATACGCATCATGGGTCATCGAAAGTGTGTCAGTGCTGGAGGCTGACGCAAAGGAGCAACCAGATAATTTTGAGAGAAAAGCGTCCGCCATGATTACAGAAATGAAAGATATAAAACTGAAGGACGATAGCTACGACGAACTAGGTCAGGTTAAGAAGGACGAGGTATTATATCAACGTTCAAATCTCGCCAGGTCTGACTCATTTCACGCGATGAGTGAAATCTACCGAAGGTTGGATAATTTAGAGAAAGTGATTTTACATCTGAAGAATGTCGGGAAAGAAAGTCAAGACAAAATGTACGCTAGATTCAAATCATTGAAAGAGGTCGTTGATGGAATAACAAAACCATGCCCATCAACGGATAAGGTCATGATGCAGAGTACCATTCGCCTCAACTATACAGAATTACTAACAAAACTAGAAACCGAGGGCCTGATATTCATATTATATCAGAAAGGAGTTATAGAATTACATGAAAAGACAAACCTTGTTGCCATGCGTCATAATAGATGTAGTAGAGAGGACATAAGCGACCAGCTCCTTAATATTCTTGGCAGTAGACATGTCAGTCGAAGCGCCATTCTGGAGGCATTGGAGTACACGAATCAAGGTGACTTAAAGGACAAAATTATTCCCAAGTGACCGGATAAAATAGAACGAAAACGGTGTGCCAAATTAAATATTGGTGATATTTTGTACTAATACAATCAAAGTATTTTAAAGTGTCAATATTTCCCTATGGAGATTATCTATTTTAGAGTCTTAGCGGCTGTATCATCATTCTTAGGACGTCATCCTATTTCTGTGAGAATTGGTTTTCTTTTTGCTCTGAGCTGTCGTTAATTTATGCAGTAAATTCCTAATGATCTTTATGTTATTTTTTTATTTAAATTTATTTAATTATTTTTTAAAAATCTAACACCATGTTCTCTCCGGTTCTATCTCCGTGTATTCGTCTCATTGTATGACCGCCTTATTTCACGCTTTGTTACATGATGCTGTTTCTACTCTGATCGTTAATGCAGCCATTTTAGTATCAACAGCGTGGTATTTATGTTTTGATAGCATTGTGTTGATTCCATTCTCTGTCATACTTATATGTGCAATAGTAGCCAAAGAATTATTTATGATAAAATGAATGTTTTAGGTATATTGCACGAGTTCCTATTTTATTTTTATTGTTTATGTAGTCATACGAAAATTTCATTAGGTACTATGAAATTCAGAATGTATATTTGTCCTTATTAAAGATCACAATATTGACATATACCACACTTCTCTTATATAATAACAATAGATTAAAGCAATTATTGATGGTAATAGATAAGTGACGTCACAATGTAGTGAACACAACATCACATATATCCAGTAATGTATCCCTCTTCACGTATTTAAAGAAATGACAGCATGTCTGGTGATGATCTCTCACCACGAAAACTGATGCAAGAGAGAAAATCCGCGGAATTCTCCAAATGTCCGTAAAAACTCGATAAACTCTATAAATAGAATATTCAGGTTATAATTCTTTTCTTTATTTCTATATTTGTTTGTCATTTTGTATTTACGGTTTGTGCATTCGATACGGTAGTCAATGTTCATCAAAGTTTTCAATTACAAAACTCGCGTGATGAAATATATTCTTATTGTCTGATAACTTCAACAATCAGCTATGTCGGTAAAAATAACTTTCTTTAAAAAATACTGAAGGGCTGGATCTTTTTGAAGACATAATTGTTTTATTCCAATATCAAAGAAGAAGATACCTACATTTAAAAAGAATAAAAATTCAAAATCAAATTCAATAATAAACAAGGGAAAAAATGCAAGGAAATTTCTGAAAAAGTACAAGGAAAATAAGACCAAGTGTTCCGGTGTCATCAGCGTCTTCTGCATGTAAGCAAAGTCAATTTATCAAATGAAAACAAAGTATAGAACGATGAAACCAGCTAACAAACACCAAATACGTCCAGTTCGTGTCACACAAAGATGTTGTGTATTTTGCATTTTTTATTCACTTATTTATTTTTTTCATTCATTCGTATAGCTCTACATATTGTGTACATTATGTGAGTTCTGTATATGAATGCTTTACCTAATAAAGACGTGTCATTGACATCAAATGTGTCATCATGTATCCATAAAGACTCTTAAAACCAGTATATTGTAACATTAATAACATAAGACAAATATCACTCGCCACTCCCTACTGTGGTCATTTACAATCTGTTAATAACATCAAATACCGAATTAAAATAGAAGACAGTTCATATGGCACAATAAATCACCACATACTTACTAAGCATTGTTATGGCACTGCAAAACTCCCATTGCTACGAAAAATTACGTAATACCACTACCGACCCAAATCACAATCGTCATGGTTACAATACATGATGAAACTTCTCCACAATATTTCAGTTAACTGAGCTTATTATTTGAACTTCCTCCGTTGGAGGAATCCCAGCTACTCTCTTCCGGTGTCTTGCCTGTCTGCGGTTCCGGTTTGGAATTTCCAGCGTCGGCATCCTTTCCAGCAGTCACAGCTGAGTATCCACAGCTACTATTATCTTCTACAATAGTAACACAAGCACGAAACGGTTCAAATATCAAGTACGCGGGAGATTTGATAGTCTTTTCTACGCCACTTCCGCTACTTGATGAGTGTTTGTACTTAATACGAGATTCATCAATTCTTGTTACTGTTAAGACACCGTCGCACGCTTTTGACTTTCCTCTCCTCTCGAAGACCTCTATTATACCAATATGGCTACGTGATTGTTGAGATTTCACTGAAGTTGCATTGTTGCTAACGGAGAATATTTCAGGGGCCTTAACTCTTAAATCCAGCGGACTAAGGCTACACACGCCAAAGGCCACATGATAGTAGTGTGGTGGCTCTGAACTGGGACCGGAAGTATCTGGTTTCAGTTCAAACTTGATTTCATCTCCAACTGACAAACTGTTTTGAAGGCAACAAATAGAAGATGGAAATTCCTTCGATAATTTTGCAATGTCTTCAGCGCCCTGCCGTGATATGTTTTCCCCACAAATGTCGTGGAATTTCAGACTCTGCGACTTATCTGTTTCTGAAATATGCAAAAAGACATTGTTATATGATATGGGTTCTCCAATGGGTTCTTGCAATGTATTATCAGTGAACTATTAACAAACAAATGTTCAGAAAGAATCCACAGTGTCCTTATGTTAGACACATTAGTGATATTTGCCTGTATAATCCATCAACAGAAAGGTTATGGTATTGCCACTTGTTACTTGAGATAACTAAACGGTTAATGAAATGAATGAATACAAACATGTCATAATAATCATATCCAGACTTAAATTCAATACAACCAGAGCAAAAATGGCGAAAAAAATATCTGCACGGGGACTCAAGAAACAGTTCAAAATAATAAAATGGTCTCTGGAAGGTCGTGTGCTTTCCTCTTAATCGATGATAATGTCATGTACTCGAAATGCTAAACGCTGTCAGTAAGGGTTCAAATCGAAATCCTAAACGCTGTCAGTAAGGGTTCAAATCGAAATGCTAAACGCTGTCAGTAAGGGTTCAAATCGAAATCCTAAACGCTGTCAGTGAGGGTTCAAATCGAAATGCTAAACGCTGTCAGTGAGGGTTCAAATCGAAATGCTAAACGCTGTCAGTAAGGGTTCAAATCGAAATGCTAAACGCTGTCAGTGAGGGTTCAAATCGAAATCCTAAACGCTGTCAGTAAGGGTTCAAATCGAAATCCTAAACGCTGTCAGTAAGGGTTCAAATCGAAATTAACTATTTTCTGTTTGTTATATGTCCTCTCAGTAACAAGATTTATTTAAGATCTGATTAAAAGCAAAGGACGACATGACACATAAAGGCAGCAGAAAGAAAAGTAAGGAGATGACAACTACACCAAGCATTACAATTAGGATTCTTTAAACGTTTTACAAGGGAATATTAAAGAGAACAACATTGCCTCATTGCAATACTAAGTATGTTCATAATTTCCTTTCTTTTTTCAATTTGTTTGAGAAATCAGACCTCATATGTAACTGGTTGTTGCGACCAAAACACTTTTCGAATGAACACTCGAACATACCAAGACGTATTTTGGCTTCGCCGAACTTTATGTTGACATAAATCCACACCGCACCAGGGCTGATAGTTGATCTTATGTTATCTGGCGACCTACAGACAAAACTATCTTCTTCAATAGCAACAATAACTACGAGTTCCTTCCTATGTAGTCTGATGTTACCCACTTCCTTGAAATGCTTCTCAAAGTGAGCTACTCTTACGTTCTGACAAGTATACGGATCTTTTTGTGTGTATCCTACATCAATGTGGCTACTTCCGTCAAACAAACGGATACGGTATTCCTGGTTCCGCTTCATAGGTGTCGCACTGAACACACATCCGCCAGAGTACACGTGACACCACTCCACTGCCAGACCTTCGTCTTTCACGCATACGTTCTCACCACATATAGTTGATATTGTAGCATTAGTGAACTTCTCCATATTATTTTCTTTATTTATCTCGGATAATCTGAAATGATATGGTTTTAATTAGACATAAATTAACTTCAGATTTTAAAATAAATCCAAAAATAGATCTTATTCATTAGGCATTAATGAAAATCGAAGTTTATTTCTGATATCATTTCCGGATGTGACACGTGTAACACTAAATGTTTAATATATATTTGTTGTGTCAATAAACAATACGACAAACAATATAATAATATAACTAAAATAATTGTATATAATCCTACCTGTAGATGACCTGTCGCTTGTAAATGTATTCAGTGTATTGTCTGCATATTACACCGTTTATGCGACAACGAATATAATACATTAAAGACAGCTCTGGATTCTTTTGTTAATAGCCCACTCGCATGTGTCTGTACTTAGTGTAAAAACACCTACTTCTTCACAATCAAGTAATATGATACTCATAGATGTATCAGACTTCATTGTAATGATTTATCTTTTGCTGAAGTCATGTACCCAACACCCAATTATAAGGCGATATATGAACACGGAAGTATTACCAGACAGTGTATATACTTTACCGATTTGTGAACACATTGGGTTCTGACACTTTGTATACAACAAACTCACTTGTAATACAATTAGTGTTAGTGGTAGAATTAACATGCTAACATGTTTAGTACTGATCATTGTCGCGGATACAGGTTCATAATTACAGATATAACATGTGTAGTAGAAATATCTGAATACCATTGGTCAGTATAAATAGAACTTCACTTGTATAGATCAAAATAAGGGTACACATTCATATACATTGTATATAAATATATACATAAATATATATATATAACCATTAAAAGAAATCGCGTCATTATCAAAGCAATAAGTAATAATATATATATAATATGACGAACGTCTACCTTGATTCTCGTGTAAATGTCCTCGCCCTTATACCGTCTACATGCATTGTACCTGCTTAATAGGAATCAATATGTACTAAATATTGATCATTTAAATACATGGATTGTTGACATATATATTTTGAATTACTGAATCTTATCACATTACCGTAAATACCTTAAATACTTGTTCAATCTAATATCCACACGTCGACCACAGCTAACCTTGTCACCGTGTCCTACACGTAGTAAATCATGCTATTTATAGTCATTGTACAACAACATTCTGCATACGGGTGCCCTTTAAATAAAGTATAGTTAGGATACTAAAGAATGTTTTTTATCGATTTAAGAACAGTTCTTGTTTGGTGTAACTTCATACAGATTTAATACCAGACCAAAACTCCATTTCAACATGTTAAACATAGTTTGGTTAATATCAATTGACGGCTACTCAATATTTATGTCTATATAAGGATGGCACCCTGTTGTATGCGAGGTGCCTGTATGTGTTGATTACGTATGTGTAACTTTTTTTCTTATAGTGTTGAAATGAAGCCAAATTTATCGTGTCGTCACACTGAGGTAACTTAAGAAACAAATTGGCTGTGCAATCAAACCAGATGACAGCCTATGTCTCATCGATAAATTCTTATTGTGTATAAGTTATGGGTTTACATTTAGTCAATGCTTCGAAATCGATGGCAGAAACGTTTTTGTTTGAGGAGAAAAACTAAAACCAATTTTTTTTACCGATATCGATAGGAAGTTAATTATCTAGAAAACACGTGCTTAATTTGAAAAGTATTCTTATTGTTAATCGTCAGAGGAAAGTCATTGTGAAGCCCTGCCTGAACATGAAGACATCTCCGAATTCCTCCAGTCAGGAACCCCTGAATCGTCGACCTCTAGCAAAACATTACGATCTATGCACTCCCCGTCCTTTTTAGCAGACAAAACCGAATACTGCTGTTTCCTTCTGTTTGCGACTATCGGATTTTGATGGTTATTAGACTGAAAGTCGCCGACCTTTCATTCCTTGACACCCGATCATAGTAACGTATTGAAGTTCTTGTAGACAGAAAATCTATTTTCGACGAAACTGAAACTGGAAAAGAGAAATAAAATATGAATAAATTCTAACAGCATTTCTTGCTACTTTTGTTGATATATTTACCAATTGTTTCCATGCTGGTGTACAAATCATTTAACCTCTAATCGGAGGCTAGTTACTATGTGAAAATACCTACTGAGAGCGATTCGTTGCGAGGACGAAATTTTAATTTCATCAAGGACTCTCTACACTGTTGTAGTGTATTTTAGGTGATGTGTCCTAGCTGAGGCCTTCGGCAGTATATGTCAGTGGGACAGCACTATCAATTCGGTCTCACGCCTTTAAACACCGTCATAAGGCAACAACATATTTTAGCATCCCACAAACGCCACTCGCTTACCTCGCATACATGTAGAAAATTTTCAGTCTGAGTGGTGTTTATCCTAGCGCGAGTACGGCTTCATGAATACGGGCTCAGAGGATGTCATAATAGTTGGTAACATTTAACCTTATGAAATGGCTGGCATGCATGCATAGTTATGAAATCAATAGTTTTGGAGACGAAAGAATAGTTATAATAGAGTCTGATGTAGACCCTGAATGAAAAAACAAACGTGATATTTCAAAGAGAGTCCTGTTGTTTTGATTACACCATGTGCTTGGTTAAGTATGATCCTGGGCCTATAGGTTACTAAGATGTTTAAATGTAAATGTTAATGAAGGAAGGACGACAGACGCTATCTCATGGCAATGCTCACCTGTTCTCTGGATAGTAAAGCATTTGAAAACAGACATTAAAAGTATGCGATGATTTTTCGTATTTTAATAAATATACATAATTTACTCACACTATTTTTAAATCTTTATCCGTTTTTATTTGAAAATCTACATCCGCTTGTAAGACTAGTAAAGTGAAAAAGAGATATTATACATATACCGGCTATAACTACATGAATACGTCGACATAGGCATTCATAAAACATATCCACAATTTAATACGTGTATACAGATATTTCATCCGTACGGTTAGAATAGACAAATAAGGGATGGGTTTCTCATCAGCCTTAAACACGATCTTAATCACTTTTCATACAAAGTGTCAACAACTCGCCTGCTGCTGCTGCTGTTAAATCAACGTAAAAGTCGGGGCAAAGCGTCGTTTCGTTGGTTACAGTCGGTCTACAGAAATATTGAGGATTAATTACATCTAAAGGGGACGAGACAAAGCTAGGACGACCTTTTATGATCTGGCGACACTCTTTCCCAAGATACGTTATAGAACATGATAGGTAGCCATTTTGTTTTTTTTCTTTTAAAGACCCCGTCTTCGTGATATTGTAACATGAATCTTGTACCTTTGAGGCATATTGTAGTAAATTAAACATCAACCTATCGTGACAACTTCATCGGGATTAGAGAATATGTAATATAATAAATATGTCCTATATATATAGCACCACAGGAACAGACAGGGTCATTCTGAGGTGAGGTCTGCTTTTAGTATTTGAATAATATTCCAACTGAACAACATGAGAGAGGCTCGCCGGGATGAAGGGCGTTGCCGAAGGAAATATCCATAACAACACAGAATGGTCGGTAGTCGAACCGCCTGATTTAGAGATCGGACCATGTACATGTTACCCTGTATCTTCACCTTGATGTTCTACCAACTGAAATATCGTGGCTAAAGATACGGGATGTAATTAATATAAGTTTCAAATCACAATATTACTAATTCTGTTATGATGAACTAGAATCGTAAACATGAGAATTACATAGCGTCACACATTCAACAGTACAGTAAAGCTACATTTTCTTTTTTCTTTCGATCACTGGATTTTTCTCAGTCGCCTCCTAGGCTTCAAAATGTAGGCTTTTAGCATCACTGACGAGTCCTAGGACACAACAACTGTATGTTGCAGTTTAATCCATTGTTGGGCTCTGTTGTATCTAACTCTGTTTTTCACTTGTGCGTAATTTTTTTAAATGTCTTTAATCGAAGAAAGGCAGTTTAATCATGGAAATTTATTCAAACACTCAAAGCGTGTTCTATGGACTAATGGAATAGTCACTTACTACTATAAGGATATCCTGCCTTCAAATAGCCCTGGCTGTTCACAGTGCTGTCAACCCAACAGAACAATACTTTGCCAATCACGTACCTTTGTTGGAATTTTCTGGATGTTGGTATGTTCTTTATGTTTTTGTACTCTAAACCAAAACATATACAATAATCAAAATTGAAATATATCATTTAACAGTCTTAAAGTAATGCTATCTGGATTTATTGAAAAAATATGTATCATTGTTCTAGATCGATGAGGTCACAAATTGCTGGAATCCTAGTTTTCGTCGACTGTTTGACGTGTATTTTTCACACACAAGGAGTGTGTGTCTTTCCTGTCTCGTTCCTGGTTTCAGATTATCACAAGTCATTCCCTCTTTTCATGATAGACCGGGAAAAAAGCCAACATACTCGCGATTACAAGTTATTTTGTCTATTTCCTCTGATCTCATCTACTGATAGTAAAACACTACGTATAATGTAAAGCAAACAACACTAAATACATTGACGGTGATGTTAATAAATGCCGGAAAAAGGAGACCTACCGCATTAGATGTAAAAACACGATAAAACATGTAGGAAAACTACAGTATCAGGTGTAAAAACACGATAAAAATGTAGGAAAACTACAGTATCAGGCGTAAATACACAATAAAACAAGTAGGGAAACTACAGTATCAGGTGTAAATACACAATAAAACAAGTAGAAAACTACAGTATCAGGTGTAAATACACGATAAAACAAGTAGGGAAACTACAGTATCAGATGTAAATACACGATAAAACAAGTAGGAAAACTACAGTATCAGGTGTAAATACACAATAAAACAAGTAGAAAACTACAGTATCAGGTGTAAATACACGATAAAACAAGTACTACATAAAAAGCATGGTGAGACAATAAGGGAAAATATGCTATTTGACTCAAATAGACGAGAAAACAACAAACATAAACTTAATTTCAATAAACCCAAAGCAAAATATTAACAGAAGAAGTGTAACTTGGATA